AGAGGTGAGAAAGCTGGGGAGCAGCCAGGCTGAGCTGTGTGTAGGGGTGATGAGTGCTGCAGTGGGGCTGCAGTGTGATGGGGGCTGGTGTGTGTGAGGCAGGGCAGCTGCCTGCAGACATCCTGTTCCAGGCAGGACATTTGCAAGTTGAAGGGATTTCAGAACAGAGCTGTGGGAACAGCTGGGGAAATGCAAATGGAACTGTTATACGTGCATTAATTAATTAGTCAACGACCGCAAGGATGTAAGTGCTACAGCTACTGGTATTTAAAAAGTGTGAAAAAGATGTAGGATAAACATAGTTAGGGAGGTGTTTGTCTCCTCTGTCGGACTGAATTAACAGATACATGTTGATCTGGTGATAAAATGGAAATTAATATCCCAGGGTGAGACACGCTAAGAGCACTGGATTAGGTGAGGAAGAAAATTTAGAGATGGAAACAGGGCAAGCAGTGAGGCTTTAACTTCTGCAACTATTTGATGATAGGAATTATTCATCTCACCTTTGAACATCCCGAAAGGATAATTTGGGCATGTTGGTGCAATTATAAAAACAGCAAACAAACAAAAGCCCTGATAACATACTGCTGATATGTGGCGTAGAGGGATCTTAAAATAATCTTTATCCAGGGATTAAGCGTTTCTGATCTACCACTGACCTGTTTTCAGAGTATTACAAATTCATGGTACTTGCAAAAACAAGACAAAAAGGCTGTAAAACAAGAGAAAAGCAGATTTACAGCAGCGTAAGTAATTAAAGTAAGTTGCATTGATGAGGAAACTTCAAACTAAAAGCCATGTCTGGTCAAACCTCCTTTTTCTCATCAAGAATGCAAAGTGTGCTTGGAAGTCTGTGTGTAGAAAGTTTCTGGGCCTTTTAGGCCATGTGTGAAAATGTTTATTTTCATTAGGAGTGAAAAATGCAGACCTCCAGATGCCCTCTATGATTTTTTTTTTCCCCCTCAAAGGAGGAGGAGCTGGGGTGAGATGAAGACACAAACACTGATTTAGTCCTTGAGTCTGAATTAATGCTGCTGTTTTTAAGGGCTGAATAAACATCGTGAGTTATTTCTGTGCACAGAAAGCCAGGGAAACTTGTGCTGATACCACTGACTTTGTGAACAAAGAGAAAGTTGTGTATCTCCAGGATTATGGACATCTGAGGTGTTTCATCATTACTAAATGCTTATGGGGAAAAAATAATTGAGTAAAGCAAATTAAGTGCCAGAAAGTGATTTTTATTTCATTGCCTGGCAGTAATATGTGGATTTGATTATTTGTTTTGGCCTCTTTTAGGGTTTTTTGCACATAGTAATAGAGTTAGCATGAAATTTCATCTTAGTTTGAAGTGCCTTACATCTTTATCAAATGATAAATAACACAGACTTTGGCTAGAAGTTCAGTATTTTGTAATTTTGTCTGCAAAAACATTTTCCATGGTTGATAAGAGAAATGTGAGACACCAGAGGAATAAATTCATGCTTGTCTTTGGAGTAAAATAATAATTACTTGGGTAATACAATCTTTTTTTATATACACACATGTCAGGGGGCCCCTAGCTACAAATGTGAGCTGAGTGAAGTCTCATGGTTCCCCTTGAACACCCACCCTGGAGGAGCAGGACCTTGGTCAGTGAAAGCAGCCTTTATAAACTGTGAAGGATTTGCAGAGGGGTGATAAAGCCACACGGGACCGGCAGCTTGGAATCATTGTTGGATGTTTTAACTCCCAAAATTGCTGCAGAGATTGGGTGGTGGAGAAATCCAGGGCTGCAGCTGCCACGTGGCTGCGAGCGGGGCCAGCTGGGTTTGTGCCCAAGGGGCTGCCAGGGGGGCAGGAGCCCTGCTCCACTCAGGGCTGGATGGAGCTGGGGATGTCACTTTGCAGTCAGAGAAACCCGGCCTCTCACGTTCTCATGAATAAATAGTTCCAGATAGTTCTAGAATCATACAGGTATGAACACACCTTTTTCTTTTTCCCTGTTGGAGGGGAGAGGGCTGGTTTGAAAGGGTCAGTGTCCATGTACCCGATAATGTGACACTGCAACGTGTGTGGCTGTGTTCTCCATTTCCCTGGTACATTCGTGTGCAGGGCTCTGTTTGGGCAGGCTTTTAATAGCAGTCGGGAGGGGAGATCAAAGTGCCACTGAACGCTGTGTTCAGTGCCTGGGTATCGAGTGGTCTCTGTGGTTTATTTACAGTAATTTGTTCTGCATTTTTCACAACCAACCCCAGCTCTCTGCATTCACCAGCGTGAGGACATCGTGCTGAAAGACACCACCATTTTCACCCAGTTACTCCTCTGACAAGAGGTTCTTGTCTAGAATGTGAAACTGTAGAAGCCACCAGCTGGCGACTATAAATTCCTGCCTTAATGGGCTGTGTCAGACACGTCGGGGTGGCTGTGCTGGAGGGAACCTGAGACGGGATGCCAAAGGGAGGAGTTTCCATCCAGCGCTGGCAGTGGGGAAAGCATCTGTGTGTTTGGCATGAGCTGGGGCCCGGGGGTGCCTCCAGCCCTTCTGCAGGGAAGGTGACACCCAGGGCAGAGGGGCGCTGCAATAATGCACAAGTGGCTTCCCCAGCTGCAGGGTCCCTCAGTGGTCACTCACAAGTGCCTGTAAAAGATGAGAACAAGAGAATGAGGTTTTGTTCTTTTCTGGCCTAGCACAGGTTTCAAAGTTGTGTTGATTTCCTCTCTAAAACTTTACCAAAGCAGCTGTTGATTGGGCAGTGTGTCTGTTGCTCACTTCAGAGTTGTCCAGATGTGACTGTTCTACCTCGCAGCAGATTCTGACTTGGCTGTTGTTTCCTTTTGTTGTAACATTTTTGCTGAGATCATCAGTTTGCTGTTCTTCTGCTACAGATACTCAGCATTAGTTTTTGTTGCTACTTTCAGACATTTTGAGGATTTCTTGGATGTTTTGTCCTCCTGTTTTTGCCTTTCATTGAATTTCTGCGTTATCATTTGCAGCCATGGCTTAGGCCAGGGGAGCTGTGTTAAATACAGTTCCCTCCCCTCCTCCTGCCCACGTTGGCACCAGCTTGTGCTGTGCCTGTGGTTCATTGTACTGCTTCTCTTTTTTTTCCTAGAAGTGAAGGAGGTAGCAGTAATGTCCTGCTATTGTTTTTAATAATCTGTTCGAAGAAGTGCAGCAACGCCCTGGGAAAAAAAGTTATTGATAGTTTGTGGTGTTAAGTTCTTGAAACATAAAACCAGGACCAGGCTCTGCTTCGAGCTGAAGTGTTCAGTACAAAGGCTCTGCAGCATTTATCAGGGGAAAATGCTTTATTTTGCTGGTACCAGAGGTTGCAATCACTTTCTGAATACTGTTATATCTGACAGGCCAGCCCTAGGTTCAGCTGCTGCTTTTCTCTGTCCAAATAATTATTAGAGAATACTTTAGATAATTTAAAACACTAAAAGGCAGCTGATCCAAAAGAATTCTGTGATTCTGTGAAATATGGTTCAGAGTAGTCAGGAAATTAATCACTTGGAGAACCCCTGGCATGTTCTGTCTTTTGATCCTTCTCATAATTTCTCTGAGTTCTGCCAGGAAATCAGAGGGGGAAATCCTAGGATAGCTAAATTAAGAGCTGACTGTAAATTTTACCCCACAGCTGAATTACCAGTGGCAGGCACTGTGTTCGGTGAAGAACTGCCAGGCAGACTTGCATCTGTAATTAGCATTTCTTGCAAGCAAGGGCTTCTGCTGCTGGGTGGCACCAGCGAGAGGCTGCTCACTCCTGGGACAGCTTTCTCCAGGCCTTCCAGGAGTCCTGGCTGGCTGTCCACTTGCTGTGATTCCTGGTAGTGAAAGGAGAAGGGCTTTACTGGGTTTCACAAATGCAGTGTTATATGTGGGAGGTGACCTGTGCTGCCTCAGCTGCACACACCTGCCCTGGGCTCAGCTTGCACCAGTGTCCTCTGAAACAGCAAATTTGGCATTTGCCAAACAGATGATTCGGTGCATTGTGTGTCTGATGCAGCAGGTTTATTTTCAGACACATCTATAAGTTGAATTTTTTTCTGCTGTTTAAGAAGAACCATCAAAATGGGTCTCTTGCAAAAATTTGCCTCCCTGTTAACAGCAGATTTATGGCTACTGGCCAATACTGTCCTAATAGTGTATCCTGTTCAAAATTGGTATTTATGTACCAAAAAATGCTTTAAAAGCAAGTCAAATACCATGTTAATATAAATGTTAGTAAAAATATCAGATCTAAAGCTCATTAATATTCAAAAGAAGCTACTCAGAATGTGGTCGAGGAAGAACTGCATAATAGCTATAGGTTGCCTATGGTTTTTTTTTTAAGATATACCTCAAACATATCCATAGTTGAATCCAGCTTGAAAGGACTTCTAAAAAGGGCTTCATATTAGTGTATGAGAAGAAACATAAAAAGAAACATAAAACTTGGGTTACTTACTTAAGCTGTTGTTAGTTCTGTCCAGGTAACATTCTTTTAACACGTGAAAATTAAATCCACAGTTCTAGATTTAAGCTTGTGTGGCCCAAAACAGTTCACATAAATTTTAATTATTGCAAAATAAATAAACCTTCCTCTCTGAAAATTCTGAGAGTAAGCAGTGTCCTCGTCTTTCCAAAGAATTCTTCCTTAAAAGAAGATAAAAATCGTAGAATCCACTTTCAGTTGCAGGTACTGAAGCCCTTGCATTGTTCAGATCTGTACCTTTGCACTTCACTGGGTGTCTGTAAGGTTTATTTGCCTGCTGGCTGGTGGAGTTTCTTGTCCATGTGTCTCCTGTATGAATAATTCCTGGAGATCAAAAGCTTTTGCAGAGAATAACCACGAGCAGCTCCTTGCTCAAATACTGCCCTCAATTCTCCATCCTGTTCTCGTTATAATTAGAGCCCCAAAATGGCAAAGCGGGAGTGGGAGTTTGTACAAATATTTGTAGCACTGTGAACTGTACTGTGCTGTGGAAGGCTAGGAAAGCCTCTGAGGTGGTTTTGAACAGAAACATTTTGCTTTCAGGAGCAGGTGCCTGTTCCTGTGTATCACCCCACGCCGAGCCAGACTCGCCTGGCCACACAGCTGACGGAAGAGGAGCAGATCCGGATAGCGCAGCGGATCGGCCTCATCCAGCACCTTCCCAAAGGAGTCTACGACCCCGGCAGAGACGGCTCCGAGAAGAAGATCCGAGAGTAAGTCCTGGGGATTGAATGGATGTGGCTGTTGCCTTGGTTTGGGATGCTACCCTGGGAAACCTGACCTTATCATCCTGGGTTTGCCTTATTTTCAGGGATTGCAATTTAATGTAGCTTTTTTTAAAAAAAATGAAGCCCTGCAGAAGGCTGATGTGCTGAGGAGCATCCCTGCTGGGGGCAGGGGTTTGGAACTCCGTGGGCTCCAAGGTCCCTTTAACTCAAACCACTCTGTGCATCTGAGGCTCTTTCCTTTATCTAACACAAGGCTAACCCTCGCAGTATCTACAAATACTAGAAGCATCCAGGAATAGATCTTACACTGTTTTTCATTTCCAGGTTGGTAACAGCAGCTTAAATATTTTATTTTTTTCCCCTCCAGATGTGTCATTTGTATGATGGACTTTGTTTATGGGGACCCTATCCGATTTCTGCCGTGCATGCACATTTACCACCTGGACTGTATAGATGACTGGTTGATGAGATCCTTTACCTGTCCATCCTGCATGGAGCCAGTGGATGCAGCACTGCTTTCATCATATGAGACTAACTGAGCCAGGGTTTCTCTACTGAACCTTCAAGGAGACCATCCACTTCAATGGGTTTGATCCTTTTGTCATTCAGCCCAAAGAGCCAGGAATTAGGAATTAAGATCATGCACAAAGTATACATTTCCTAATAAATAAATAAATAAAAAAAAATATTCCTGAATGGCTGCAAATATTGGAAAACATAGTATTTTAGAGACTATAGAAAAGTAGGTTGTTATTTTTAATGTAAAGCCTTGACCCACCATTGTCTTTTAATGTTTGTTCTTACACCCATATATAGGAATTGTGTAAAGTGTTACAGCAACTGTAAATGTTCAAACTGCGTGTATCCAATTTTATTAGCAGCAAGATAAGAGTATTTTTTTCTTAAATAAAGTAACCAGTTTTGTTCTGATTCTTTTCACAAGTCCTGGCATTTGGGTCAAGGCTTTATTGAAGTCTACATTTTATAACACTGGCACAAAGAAATAGTTTTAAGCTTGTTTGCACAGTTCTTTTTCTTTTTTTTTTTTCCTTTTTTTTTTTCCATTGGAGATGGAATTCATTGCCTTAGGTCTTTTTAATAGTGTATTGTTATTGTTGGGCTGGCTCTATGCTTGAAAACCAGTTTATTTATAACCTGTTAAAAGTGCTATATTTTGTTTGCAGTTAGGAATATGCAGACTTCAAAGTGATCTCCTAGCTTGTAAGCAAACTGAGATGCATTATCCCTTTTCTACAAGTGATGCAGATTATGAAGATACAACACAAGTCCTGCAGTGAAACTGTGGTTTCATGGGGGTTTTTTATAACTTCCTTTGGTTTTGATGAAATAACAATCCTTAAACTTTAATGTGACTTTTAACTTGATCAGATTAAAAGTGGGCCAGATGAACAATAAATAGTTAAGCTGCCATAACTGAAAAAAAAAAATACATTTGGAACTAATGTAGTATTAGCATTGATCACTTATTCTACTTTTTTTCCCTAAAAATGGTTGTCTTGGATCATAGCAAATGGATACTGCATCTCTCGTTCTTGTAGTTCTTAGGTTATCAGAAGTTAAGAATAAACATACTGTATCTCAGTCTCCTGTATTAAATGTATCTGTTGAGCCCTGCTGGCTGACACATCAGTTCACCAAACAGGAATGAATGCAGAGAGGAGAAAAATAGACTTTGTTCTGCACAGAAATGCAAAGTTTATATAAACACAGAGTGTCAGGGTAGCAGTGGAGGGGCAAACAGTCCTGCTATAGCCAGAATGACACAGTTCCCTGATTTCTGTAGCAAACAGTATGTGCTTGTTAAGAGAGGCTCCAGCAAAGATTGTAGCTGTAAAGATCTTTTTCCACTTTGCATGATTTTTTCCTTTTTTCTTCTCCCCCACTCCCTTAATGTACCTACTGTGACTTCTGTGCATTCAGTGCCACCTTTAACCAGTGAGAAGCCCTGGTCTCATGAAATGAAACACAATCTCAAGTTAACCACAACAAATTGGGGGATGTTCTTTGATTGTGTTTCAGCCATAGTTTGAGTTCTTGATACAAGTTCTTTAAGACCCAGGTCCTTTGAGGACTTAGTGCATTTACAGTAGAGGAGAATAGTAATTCTGTGGGTTATGGATAACTGGTCAGCACAATGGAGAGTCAGCATTTGTTTATTATTCCTGCAGCTGACAGCACCCTGCTCCCTTAGAGAAGAACTCCAAGGAGCAGTCAAAGGGATCTGAAAACACTCTGCAGTTCTAGATTCACTCAAATGGCCACACATTATCTGGACACAGCGTTTTGCTGAATTAATACATACCTAATTACATGGATCAAAATCTGGGAAGAGAGACCTGAAGTTGTGCAATATCATTGTTCCTTTTCATCATTCCATGTGTGTTCTTTTGTGTCCTCCTTTTTGTCTGTTTGTTTCAGGGGTTGGGGTTTTTTTTGGGTTTTTTTTTTTTTGGTAAAACAATGTCCACATTAAGTATTCATTTCTTTATCTTGTTAAAACTGGCAAATGAACAATTTGAAAAAAACAGTGTTGTCATGGTGGTATTAATCTTTATTTATTACAAGACTTGATTAAGAAAGATTTAAAAGAAGTAGGAAGTGATGGGTTACTGAGCTGAATGCTTTCCTAGGCAGCTAACACCTTGAGCAGCTGAACTTTTAACACTGATATTGACTGGGCTAAGGGAAGAAATTACTTTTATTAAAATACTTGTTAAATAGAAAAAAGGTGTGAAGGGCTACAACTGGAGCTGATGACAAAAGAACATTACAAAAATTTTGAAATTTTAGCTTAAAGAGAAATGTGTAAATATAACAAATAAATCAAATTATTTTTCAAGTGTTTAGGTACAATACTGTTCTGGGTGATTTCTAATTCAAAGAAGAATTGATCTAAATTGAATGCAAAGTAATATATAACCTGAATTTTAGCTGGTTGTGGAACCAGATCTGTGCCTTATTTCTACTATCTATAAGATGGAGAGAGATTTAGGAACCTTAGAGGTGTCTAACAAATTACTTGCACTTCAAACACATGAAGACAGTCCAGCACAGCACAGCTGTTCCCAGCTGGAGTCTCCTGCAGCTGAGGGGAAGGAGTTGGCTCTGACTCACCTGGACCTGTTCACCCAAAGCCAGGGTGGGCAGGCCCATAGGAGAGTGTCTGCAAAAAAACAAACCAAAAAGCCTCCTAGAGCCACTGTGTGCAAGTACCTGGGTTGGGAAGCTGTTGCTTTGAAGCATTTTCATAGGGCCTGTGCAGTGTGATGGAAACACCGAGTGCAATGATGGCATTTGTAATTTAGGGCTGGAAATGGCACAGCAGCCCTGGCACAGACCCAGCAGCGCTGAGGGATCACCAGGCTCCATTTCAGCAGCACAAGGGACACCGAGTGTGAAACCCACACGGCCCAGGTCAGTGTCACCACTGTCCCCTCCACAGCCAGAGCTGCCACAGAAACTGCAGGCAGGGAGGGAAGCACTGCACCAGGAGGCACAGCAAGGACGTGCTTGGGCTCCACTTGCAGATTATGGTAGGAAATGGATTTTGTCTCCTACGTGAGAGGGGAGCTCCCATAAACCTGAAACCAGAGGTGTAATGAAGAGTAAGAAATACTCAATTTTTTACAGACATTCATGCTTAAAAATTCTTGCAAGCTACAGGAATTACCACTTTAATAATTTTATATCTAGGGTTGGTAATCCTTATTACTTGTTGCCAGTTCATTATGTAAATCTGGGGGAGAATTATACATAAATAAACCCAGCCCAGAGCATTTCTTTCTAAGGAGCATGAGCCACATAAGGGTTTAAAAGCTCCTCAGGTCTTGAGCTTCCCAGGGCTGAAAGCAATTCTGTGTTTGGAAGGCTGACAGTCTCCCTTTCCAGTGGCAGGAGGGTACATTTCTGGGCTGAGGGATTGTGAAATACCTGAATTTACTTCAGTTGCCACAGTTTCAGGACTTCGACATTTCCTGTCCTTGTGCAATTGTGGTAAAGATGAGAATTCCTTTGAGTCAGACTTCCAGTGAAATAAATAACAAGATGGCTGAAACTAAACATACAGCAGTTAAACCCTGGATTAAAAGGACTCAGAAAAAATGTGGATACTGGCTGATTACACAGTTTGTTACAGACACCACATTTTTATTAAAAACATACATTCTAGTTGACAACCTATAAAACACATGAATAAAATCTGTTCAGAAGAACCCTTCTTGACTTAATACCCAGAATAAAAATTAGCTTCAAGGATTAACTTTTCCTTTTATATAGTATTTGACTTTGAAGAATATAATTTATGCTAACCATCCTTTGCAGATTATCTTACACTTAAACCTGCTCTGGGATAAGAGTTTGGGGCTTTGGAATTCTTGGTATGAAATGCAAAGTTAATGCTTTGTGATAAAGAGAACAGTCTAAGTGCACTTTGCTAAAGCATCTTCTTGATTTAAGCAAAAGAAATAACTGTATTTTCATGCTAGCAACTGATTCATTACAACATCCACTCTGCTCTGACACTTTTGCTAAGTAAAAGCTGCAGAGAGGAGTTTATAATGAAGAAATCCTTTGTGCAAAGCCCTTTCTGTGTTCCCACAGCACCGAGGTATTTGCTTACTCAGCAAGAGGGGCCCAGCCACATGGAGCCTGCACAGAGAGCCCCCAGCCCTTCTCTGTCCTGGCTGGAAAACAGCAGAAACTTCATAAACCTGCTCTTTGCAGCACCAACCCCTACAAAACATTTGTCTTTCTTTCCAAGAAGGCATTTCAAGAGCTCTGCACACAGCAGTAAACATTGGATTCACCACACACACCACACGTGCCCTGGCTGCCCACACCGAGCACTTTCCCAGCCTCACTTTGCTCCCTCGCTGCACTTTTGCCAGGGTTCTCACTGCACCATGACAGACAAACTTCACCTTTTCAGCATCCTTTGCCCACATTTCTGCCACGTTAGCAGGAGGTGCCTGTGTAATCCAGGATTCACGCTGGGGAAGCAGATTGAGGGAGGCAGACGAGTCAAGAATTCAAAGGGGAAAGGATGAATCACTCCAGAACTGTTTTTGAGCCATCCCAGGCATTGTCCCACTGAGACAGAGCTCTGCTAGTCCCGAGTGAAAACTGATGCCCTTCAAATCTAGAGCATAAAACTTAATTTTTGTGAGGTTATGCCACTGAAGGTCTCTTGCTAGATTGCCTGTTTGCCTTGGGATTTCTTCTAGAAGGCTGCAAACTGCTCAGTCCTGCAGTGTGATCTTACTGCAAACCATTAGTAAAGGCCTTTCACCACTGCATTTCCCTCAGCCATCATCAAAGCTTTCTTTTCTGTTTCAAGTATCTTGCCTTTTAAAAGTCCCGTCCTTTAAAAGCAGTTCTGAAAACTTTTCAAAAAGCTTTGGCTCCAGAACCTGTTACCACTGTGTGTGAGTATACATACATGGATGTTTTATGTATATTTATATATGCTTTTCTTTATGTATGTGTGTGTGTGACAGATCAGACAACAACAGAGCTGTAGCAAAGGCACTTTGCATGGAATTCCTGCTGTTCCTTTGAAATACCAACATTTATTTGCATCAGTGATGAGCCCAGCCAGCATCACAGAATGGAAACCTGACATGGGTATCCACAAGCCATAAGAATGAAAGGAAATCAAATTTTTCACAATTGCATCAGTCATTGGAATAATCTCCCCAGGTAATTCTAGATCTCCCAACACTGGACACTTGTAAGATTCAGCTGGACAGGGTCACCTTGCCTAGCCTCTGCTTTCGGCAAGAACAGTTGGAACAGATGATCTTTGAGGTCCCTTCCAACCTGGAATTGTATCTAGGACTGAAATACCAAAACTGTAACTGGCCCTGATGTTTGCTACTAAAAACCTCTACAGCTGCACAACCTTAGTGGTGGTTAGCAGTGCTGGGTACTGTACCCAGATGAAGACCCTGAACACCAGGCATGTAATTCTAGGATCCTCTGGACGTAACAGCCTTGCTCCTCAGAATGATTTACTGAACTCCACTGAGATACAGCTCCTGTTCCACATCTGCAGAGAGAGCAGAGGCAGCTGCAGGCATCTCACACCATCACCTTCCCCAGAACATCAGGGAAAGCACCACACTCACAAAGCTCCAGCTCCTTCTGGGACACAACTGACACCAAGCACGGCCCCGGGGCTCCAGCACTGCAGACAAACATCCCACACAGCTCCAGCACCAAGGATGTTGTTCTTACCTTCACACCCTGTGTGCTGCAGGATAAAAGGAAGGGGAAGAAGAAAACCATCCAGAGTATTGCAGCTTCTGCCTATCTTCTCTTTCTACCACATCATTACATTACTTTTAGGCCACAGGCCTGAAACTACTGTTCCTGTACTTCACTAGCACAGGATTACTTTTCTTTGCCTTTTTAAAGTTGAATCAGCCCATAAGAAGAGCATGCAGGGGGTTATGACTACTCTGTTTTGTATTCTTTCTGTAAAATAGCCAAGGAGAGAGAAAGCAAGTAGATTTCCCTGAAATGCATAATTCTAAATAAACATTTTTTCTATGCTTAGCCAGCAATATAAATAGGTAAGTCCTGAGGTTTAAAAAAACCACTGAAGATAATGGAGCACAGCCCAGTCCTACTGTCATGACTGAATCTGAGCAAACACTGTGCAGAACTTTACCACAGTGCAATGCAGGTATTTATTAGCTCTGTTGCTATTCATAAATCTTGAAGACAGGGATTGACTGGGCATGTCCATAAAAGAAAGTACTTGGATTTTTTTTTTTAAACACCTGAAGCAAACCTAGATAGCATCTTTAAAAAATACTCTATGATGACAAATCATTCAATTAAAACACTTGCTGGTACACGCTTTGCACATAATCTGCCACCAAAATGTATTTGCAGAACATAATGAGAAAAGAAGCAAGTTCATTTCTAGTCTGTTCAGGCTGCCCAATCTCATTCATCAGTGATGTTGCCAACCATTACCCATTTTCCTGTAGAGCAGTAAACAACATGACTCACCTCTTTATCTTCTCTTCCTCCCAGAGGGGAATGGTGTTGAATACGTTGTTTTGGTCATTTCATATACATTTGCTTTGCTGCTGTGTTTTTGTGCTTGAGAATGCAAAGAAATGCATCTTGCAGGTGGAACTGGAGGCTGAGTGTTGTATTTAAACTCCTGGGAGTGCTTTTTACATTCTTGGACTGACCTGTAGGAAAGCCTTGTTTCACATGGAGAAGCATTACTTGATGCCTCTGTTGGGCCAGAGCACACAAGCTGTCAGCCCGTGAGCTTTTAGTCTTGGACCCAGGCCACAGATAACTAAAAATACTAAAGCATTCAATACAGGATTTAATGCCAAAACCAGTGTGAAATGGGAGGAAATGTTTGATATGATCCTGTTCTATGCCGCTGTATTTCATAAAATGCTGTTTCCTAAGCCAAGTTTTGAGGTGCAAACAGCCTGAGGCCAGGCACAGTCAGAAGGGGACAGTCCTTAAACTACCCATCCCTGACAGCGTGTGTGAA